ATCACCTTCTGACTGCCCCCAGCCGCCTCCCCCCACTGGGAAACATTTACAACCCCAACTTTACACCCCTATTAAAAGTGTTTTGGGACCACTATACTTTTATACTTTCCCCCTTTTTTTGCCTCCCTGGATAAAAGTTTTTTGTCTCCCCCGGATACCTCAATGCATCAATATGGGTTAAAAACCCCATCCTTCATAAAACCCCTTTCCCCCTGACAAGTCCAACTCCCAAATAACAAAGCATTTTCTTCTTTTCCCTACTCCCCCTCTCCAATGTGATTTTTCCAAAATTTTCCCTTTTTTTTTAAAACCCTTTGAAAACCCACATCACCTTAAAACCTTTTCTAGGGTTTACTTTTTAAATTTACACACACTCCCAAACTCGCTAAAATCCTTTGCAGCTTTTTTTTAGAATCTCCCATAAGCACATCATCAGCACAAAGTAACTGTGTCAGCTCCCATTTTGTATATGATTCCCCATAATTTAATCCAACCATGGTGACATTACCTGTCTAAGACCTACTTTTACCAGGTAGTAGTCTCTCTCTCTCCTGCACACATAAACTGAGCCTCACTATCTTCATAACTCTTTACAGCATTTAGTATCTTACTACCTGTTCCATTCACTTGCAGCATCTGCCACATTGCTCCCCTATCCACTATTATATGCCTTTTCTGAATCCATAAATGCAATGAAAACTTTCCTTACCTTTATCTAAATATTGTTCACATATATGCTACACATCCCCTACCTGCTCTGAAGCCTCCTTGCTCATCTGCAGTCTGTCTTACCTCTAATTCTTTCAATAATAACCCTACTGTACACTTTACCTGGTATACTCAATAAACTTATTCCCCTATAATTTTCACAGTCTTGTTTGTCCCCCTTCTCTTTATATAAAAAATTTATTAAAAGTTTGTTTGGCCATGATCTGAGACTGTCTCTGCAGCCAGATACAGTGGACCCTCGACCAACGATATTAATCCGTTCCATAGAGCTTGTCGTTAGCTGAATTTATCATTAGCTGAATTAATTTTCCCCATAAGAAATAATGGAAATCCAATTAATCCGTTCCAGACAGCCAAAAGTTTTAAACCATACCCCTGGCCGGGATTGAACCCGCGGTCATAGAGTCTCAAAACTCCAGGCCGTCGCGTTAGCCACTAGACCAGCTAGCCACAATAAGATTCATCCAACTAGGTCACAGTGGTGCCTGTGCTAACCTTTCTATGGTGTAGAAATATACCTAGTTGGATGAATCTTATTGTGGCTAGCTGGTCTAGTGGCTAACGCGACGGCCTGGAGTTTTGAGACTCTATGACCGCGGGTTCAATCCCGGCCGGGGGTATGGTTTGTTTGCAATTGTGTCATTACGATTTCTTGAGTCATAAAAGTTTTAAAAAAAAATAATTTTTTTTTTCATGAAATATACATTTCTCTACAAAGAAAACAATGAGACATGCACAATAACTACATAAATAAATGCTAAAATGACACTTACCTTTATTGAAGAGTATTGATGAATGATGAGACACTGTTTTTCTTGAACACTCTGGGATTTTCAGAGTGATACATGAGTAGAGGCTTCACTTTGCAATCCCCACTAGCATTACAACAAAACATGAGAGTTAGCCTGTCTTTCATAGGCTTGTGTCCTGGGAGTGCCTTTTCCTTCTGAGTAATGTAGGTCCTGTTTGGCATTTTCTTCCAGAACAGGCCTGTTTCGTCACAATTGAACACTTGTTGGGGTTGGAGTTTTTCAGCCTCGCCATGCCTTATCACAGTGTATACCACTACGATTTTTAAATCTCAAACCAACCTTTGCTGGGCTTAAATTCACCAATATGAGTGCTAGGTCCAGGCATTTTTTCCTGTTCACCTGGGTGTTAGTCAACTGGTGTGAGTCACATCCTGGGGGACAAGATTAAGGACCCCAATGGAAATAAGTTAGACAGTCCTCAATGATGCACTGACTTTCTTGGGTTATCCTGGGTGGCTAACCCTCTGGGGTTAATTATTTCTTGGTAATTGTTTCTTGTTAAGCCACACCAACAACACTCTCTCCACATCTTTGAGTAGTACAGCTAGCGGTGGTGCAGCAGCAGCTGACGGTGGTGCAGCAACAGCAGCAGCTGATGGTGGTACAGGAGCAGCTGACGGTGGTGCAGCAACAGCAGCAGCTGACCATGGTACAGCAGCAGCTGACAGTGGTATAGAAGCAGCTGACAGTGGTGCAGCAATGGATGACCGTGGTACGATAGTATTTCGATAACATTTCTCACCCTTTTTACCACAGGGTTGGCACTAGAAGCTTTCTTTAGGCCCATGATGGCTTAACAGTTACAAGCACTAAAAACAGTGGAATAATGCAAAATATGTATATCGCATGTATGCGTGAAACCGTCTGCCCTGGCTTGTAAACAATGGCACACTACCTGAAGGCAGGGCAGCTGAGGCGCTCAGGCTGGACGGTGGAAGGTGGACGCGTTCGGGACGAATGTCCTTACCAGAGTTTTTCACAGTTGGTCGAACCAATATTTTTACGCAGAAACACATCGTTAGGCGATTTTATCGTTAGATGATGCCAGTGTTGGTCCACTGTATGTGTAAATAAAAGTACGTGAGCGCATGCATGTGTGCACACACGCATGTGATTCAACCCCTGCAACCACATATAGGTGAGTACAAACAGACAGAATTGACTATTAACCCCTTGACTGTTGCAACCCCAAATCCTGAGGTGTCTCCTGGTGTCGCAAAATTTCTGAAAAAAACAAAATTTCTTATGAAATGATAGAGAATATTTTCCCGATTGTAATGACACCAAAAGAACGAAATTTGATGGAATTATGCTCTCGTGAAGTTAGCAACCTCGGCGATATTTACGAATCGGCGATTTTGCCCAATTTGAGCCCTATTTTCAGCTGATTCCATTGTTCCAGTCAACCAAACTCATAGCTATTTCTTTAGAACTCCATTTTTTCTATCAATTGAATACAAGACACTGCCCATTTACCGATTTCAACTACCCAATGATGTGGTCAGAAATTTGCAATTTGGCCAATTTCACGAAAGTTAAAAAATATGACAATTTCAAAATAGGGTCCAGAATGAACAATGCAGACATTCCTGGCTCTAAAATAACATTTTCTTTGTTCATCAGTCACGTCTCCAGGTCCCTCTAATATTACTCTTGCTTTCTATTTTGAATTTTTATTCAAACAAAAAATAGAAGATTTACTGTTATGGAGACTACTGCAATATTGTAATAATTGTATAAATAATGTCAACCCATTCATGACTGCATATTAGAATGACTACTTGGACATTTATTGGAAAATGGCATCATTTGTTTACTTTTGAACATCGGCAAAAATCAAACATTTCCCCCACTTTGAGCTCCATTTTAAGGTTCTTTTCATAGTAAAACCAATCAAAATCACCTCTATTTCTATAATATGTTTTCCATTCTATCAAATGAGACCAAGAAAACGAGAATACAACCATAAACACTATATGAAAATAGACCACAAAGTCGGCATTTTAATTAAAAAAAAACGGTCCTTTTTTTTTTCTCATGCACTGTGTGCTGCAGGATTATTTTTATATGGTGCACACTGACCACACAGACCCATTCTCTCATATGTGGGCCTACCAGCTTTCTCCTGCTTGATTTGAAGCCGCTAGAATTTATGAGTATACGTATATACGTCAAACACGGTGGCTCGTATGACGTATATATACGACTGAAACAGTCAATGGGTTAATTACGACGGTGGTTATATTTCTGAAAATGGTGTCTAAAATGAACTGAAGAATATATGGGAAAAATATGGTTACAATCTTGAAATTCCTTAGTCTCTTTTTTTTTTTTTTTTAAGCTATATAATTCATAAAGACTCAAAAATAATCAAGCTTTTCATTCCTTGCATTATAGTACTTAGCTTTGTTGATCTAGACATGTATGTGGTGAAATTTGATGTGACCCTATGCATTACCTGTACAAACACAAGAGGCAGTTCCACAATTATCACCTGCCACCACCATCACAACCACCATCACCTGCAAACATCAGTAAAAATATCATATATTTCTGGAAATGACAAACTTTTTTTTAATTAATAAATATGCCCAGAGCAATACTCCCATAATGTAAATGCAGACTATTCCCAAAAATATGAAAAATAAAGATAAAAATATGAAAAAAAAAAAATGTGCTATCACCATGCTCTGTTTTTGTTGGGTTTAACCCTTTGAGGGCTGGTCTCGGTCTGGGTCGGTCCAGTAGTTCTACACCACGAGCTCATCTCACTCGGATAAGCTGTTAGCAGTAAATTTGGACTTAGCTGTGAGAGAATGGGTCAGTGTGCACCATATAAAAAATTCCTGCAGCAAGCAGTCCATAATGTCGAAAAAACTGCGACCATGTTTTTGGTTTAAAACAGCAAATTCAAGGTATATTTTTCTACAGTTTTTATTGTTGTATTCTCGGTTTCTTGGTCTTACTTGATAGATTGGAAGATATATTACAGAAATAGAGGGAATTTTGATTGGTTTCAGGATTGAAAGTAGCTTCAAACTGAGCCCAAAGTAGCGGAAATATAAAATTTTTGCTGATATTCCAGAGTACACAAATTATGTCACTCATCTAATATACATCCAGATAGTCAGTGTAATGTGTATCCACAAATGCGCTGACATTGTTTATACAGTTTTTACAATAATGCAGTAGTCTGCATAACAGTAAATCTTTATTTTTTGTGTGAATAAAAATTCAAATTGGAAAGCAAGTGTAATATAGGAGAGGCCTGAGAATGTGTCTGATGAACAGAGGAAATGTTGTTTTAGTGCCAGGAATGTCTACATTGTTTATTCTGGGTTCTCTTTTGAAATTGCCAATTTCAGAAGTGATTTCTGTTCACTTTATTGGATAGGTAAATGGGCAGTTTCTCGTACTCATTTGATAGAATAGAAGAAATACTATCAAAGTAGCTATGAGTTTGGTTGACTGGAACAATGGAATTGGCTGAAAATTGCCGATTCATAAATATCACTAAGACCACTGACTTTGCGAGAGTGTAATTCCGTAAGTTTTCTACCAAATTTCCTACTTTTACATCTTTATCTTCAGATGGCACTAGTTTGCTTTAGTCAGCAGCTGTCTCACTCTCAGATTGGGTAAATTGCAGTATGGTTTTAGGTACATAGATAACATTTTTTTTTTTTTCAGGGGCGGCTTTCGAGTTGTGCCAGAAGTGATAGAATTCTGGCAAGGGCAAACATCACGTGTTCATGACAGAATTTGCTTCAGGAAGCTCATGACAGACGAGGTTATTGATGAAAGTCTGACGAAACCAGGGGAAGATGGATGGGTATATGAAAGACTTGCCCCGTAGACACTTAAAATATTGATTCATTTGAAAAGTGGGTTCATCATATTGAGTGTACTATACTGTACTGGATTTCTATTTCCATTCCCAATAGTATACTCCAGTTCTCTATTATTCTTTCTTCATATTAACATTATGTGTGACATTGTCAATGGTCCAAGTTGGATTGAAATGTCGTCGTAAGCTTCTCTCTTCTGTGTGCGGGTTATTTGTGTTTGTTCCAGTCACGGCATTGTGGTTTTTTTGTTCTTTAAGGGTTGAGCATATTTTGTGATAATAGTAATAACAAATCTAGTGAGGAAAGGGTGCTGAAGAGTGACTTAAACATAAATTATTGTGTGTCAGTTGCAGCAATCATGGTTTCAGTTTCAATTACTGCCTTCGTTTTCGTTTTAGATAGGTATATTTAAATATCGATATAACGTGCTTCTGAGTAATAGAATTTGGATAAAACAGACAAAATATTTGGCTTGATAGGCTTTATGCAGTGGACTTAAGTCTGCTTCACTGGGCATTTGTCTAGCATGGAATTTCACTTATCTAAGCTCATTCTCCAGGGAATACTGAGGGATTCATGTTAGAGGTATTTTACACTTCTTTATAAATAGGGAACTGTGAAATTATTAATGATTTTACTGCATTTTATTCCTCAGTGTTCAGGTACCCAATGTATGGATATATCACTACTAGCATCTATGGGGTTTGTGTAGCTGATTTGAATCTTGAAACTGGAATAGGGAATTTTGCATGTCCCAATTTCTTAAGTGTAGTATAATTTTACTTTGTCAGTACGAGATCACATTATGGTCTTCCAACTTCTAAAAATGAATCAAAATCTGTGCAAAGAAAAAGTGAACATTTTCAAATGCTATTTACATAATACATTCAAATGAACATGGGCAAGCTGTTCAATTGAATAAAGGTACAATGTTTAGTTGAACAAGAGCAAAATGTTTGAGCATAAAATATGTTTAAATTAACAAAACTGATCAGGTTCAGCTAATTATGTATATAATATTCAGTTGAATATATTGTAAATGTTAAATATTCAGTTGAACCAATATTGAATATTGTAAAATGATCATATGATTATGACTATATTTAATATTCCATTGAATATTAAAAAAATGTTCAGTCAAAAATGTGTAAAATATTCATATAAAAACATTTTTATTTTAAATATTTAGTAGGCTGTTGATTAAGATGTGACATTCTATAACATTTTCGATACAAGACTATTGCAGAATGGTGGCACACTTTTGCTCATAACTCCATGATATTCACCTATGATGGAGCAACTTCAGGGGGAAAAAAAATATGGAGTGCCACGAGGCTGGACTGTAGGAACTTTCCCCTCTTGTCTAGTGGGCAGCCAGCGTGTGGGTCAGATCTTTGCAAGGGAATAAGTAAGTGTATTTAGGTACAGGTGCACACAAGTAAACTTATCATTTATAGTAACACATGTAAATTACCTCGGATAACCATATGTTCTTCAGTTTGTTTTAGATTTTTTTTTTTTTTTGTCTTGTATGTCATGTTCATGGATGTAATTACTGCCATAATTGACAGTCTGTTTAATAATAAGATTTATAAAATGTTCAGTTAAATGTTATAGAGTATTGAACATTAATTTGTTCAAGTGAACACTAATATATGGTCAGCATGAGTACACATTTTGAATATTAGCCAGATTTTAGAGTAAATGTTAGTAGAATATATTCATTGAACACAGTTGATTTTTTTTCATTTGAATATAAAGTATTTAATTATTCCTTTTTATAAATGTTCATCTGAATATATTCAACACGTTACATTGAACACCTGTGTACAGTTTTATTTCACATAAAAAAAAAAAAAAAAAAAATTACAATTGAGAACTGTTCAATATGTTGGTGAAATCAAATGTTTCATAGGTTGTAAGTCTGTTTAAACCTCCAACTGGTTCTGTTACTAAAATCATGTGTCAAGAGCCCTTCACCAATATGAAGGCATTATTGTTGAAGGGGAGCAGATCTGTTAAGGATCACATAGGTAGACATATATATAGAACCTACCTCTTATTTCTGTGTGGGTACAAGCCTCTGCGTAAAAAGCTTAATTGAACAAAGAGTGCATGTGAACACTAGTTGAATATGTTAAAGGTTCTCTATCTTATTGAACATTTCCAGTTATTTTAATAGAAACATTGTACGGTATGTACTGATCAAGACGTTTACTAAGAAATCATTTTCCCATGAGTGGCTTTTTTTTTCAGCTCTAATTCAGAGTAGCTAGAACAAGCAGTGTGTATAACAAGATCTGGTGAACAAGTAGAATGATAGAGGTGGAATTGGTTACATCTACCCAGGGTGAGCTGGTAGGCTTCCTGCCGTGCCCTCTGGTATAACTTGGTGTCTTCTAATGGTAGAGTAACTGCTGAGTAGCAGTGTTATTGCCATCAGGTGTATGGTAGTACCAAGTTAAACCAGTACTGCAAGAGGCCTACTATGCCACTCTGGGAAGATGCCACCAACTCAACATCTGTTTTGTTGCCTCATTTTCAACCTACGTGTAGATTCACCTGACTTCTTGTATCATGTACATTGCTTACACTATTACTAATGAAGAAACTGCTTTAGGCCTTTTTTTTTTTTTTTTTTTTTTTTTTTTTTATATGTTATCTTTGGTTTACACATGTACTGTATTTAAAACTGGTTGGTAACAAAACCATTACACCTTAATTAGAAACATTGATAAAGATACTGTTATGAAAGCCTTTTATGATATTTTACCCAGTGCTGAGCTTAGTTACATAATGTACTTGATATAGATCCTTCTTGCATTTCTGTCAGCTTATGCAATTATTACCTGGACACATTCATGGAAAAAAGCTGAGATGTATAAAAAGAAATAAGTTGAAATCTTTGTATATAATATTTGTAAAGGTTAGCAATTAAAAAAATGGTGATTAATTTGTTTTATTTATACATTGAAACACTGTATAGCCCTTGTGGCTTAGCGCTTCTTTTTGATTATAATAATATACATTGAAACAGTTTCTTCATTGAGCTTCTTGTAGCTCAGTGCACTTATTATAACCATGACTAATACACTGAGCATGATTTAAACCACACCAACTGTAAAAAAAAAAAAATTAGAAATTTTACGAGATCAATAACATTAGATTCTTTATTAGTGTCTCGGACCACATGTTTACACAGTTAAAATTATAATATATTACTGCTCTCGGCTCCCAACACAGATGGAATAAATAAGTGAAGAGGGGCAGGAAAAAATCCTTGAGGCATCCTCAGACAGCTCATGGGGGTGATGAATGCAATCTTGTCTGGATATTAGATGCAGAGGAAAGACAGGGTGAACAGAGGGAGAGGTTGCACTGCTCATCAAAAACCAATGGAGTTTTGAGACGAGAGGATTAGTTAGAGGCGAAGCGGATGACTAAAGTAGGGACACTAACTAGGGGTCCAAAAAGTGATAAAAGATAGCAGTGATGTACCACTGAACAGCAGATAAGACAAAAATACATTGAGTAGCAGAACAATGGTGGCCACACTAGCTGAGGTGGCCAGAAGAGCACACGCAAGCAGAACAAAGCTACTCGTCATAAGGGACTCCACCCCACAAGGTGATAGACTGGAAAAATCTGGAACCACATGGGGGACCAGAAGAGTCTAGAAAGCTTCAAGTACCAACACGTTACGGACACAATCAGAGGAAGAGACGATGAACCAGCAAGGCTGGACCTTGTATTCACCTTCAACCAGGAAATCACACGAAATGCCCCTCATCACTAGCGATCACATGGTCCCGAGTTTCGAATACAGAGTTAACAAAGAACGAGGCAGCAGGAGAAACCAAATTTCAGAAAAGGGATCTATGCACATAGGCAATTCCAGCATGAGGTACAGTAGATAAGAGCCAGAGGGGAAGACAGTAAATGAGAAACAGGTGACTGCAAAGTGCAGGGAGGCAGATAAGTTTGTGCCAAGGGGCAACAAAATCAGTGGGAAAACCAGAGTGAACCCATGATTTACCCAAAGTTGTAGAGGCCAAAGTCAAGTGTGCTAGAGCATGGATAAAGAGGAGGAAAAGGACTCAAAAAAAAGGG